ACAGTGGTTCCGAAATTTACGAATGGAATCTTGATGGTTTGACTGATAGGCAGTTAACTATTCTAGTACATAGAATGCTTATGTATGCAACTATCTGTAAAAGTGTAAAAAATACAGATAGGAATATTTGCAGAATGATTGTTGCAGGTTTTAGTGGCCAACTTCGTGGCTGGTGGGATAATTATTTGTCTGTCGACGAAAGGGCAATGGTTATTAACGCTAAAGCCGTTGACGAAGGACTTGATAACTTAGGCATGGCCCTAGTGGCAAATAGAGAAGATGTCATTTATACCCTTATTCTTACTATATTAGCACACTTTAATGGTATATTTACCAACCAGAATGATGGTGAGGGAGATGATGAGGAGGAGGAGGACGAACATGATGAGGAGTGGAGAGCTACAGATGATGAAGAGGTTGCTTGATCAGGGAGTTTCTTCACACCCTACTCATTTTTCGTGTTTTGTCATTTTGTGTATGCACTGAGGACATTGCATGATCTAAGTGTGGGGTGGGGACATGTACATGGTTAATTTTAGTCATTTAGTTATTTAATGTTAATTGTGTTAGTATGTGTTTTTAGTAGTTTAGTAATTGATTTGGCTAAAAAAAAAACGTTAAATTGAGTTGGACTCATCCCGACGATGGATCTCCCAAACGGTTTTCTTGAGGGAAGTAAGTCAAAAGAAAATACCAAAAAGATTTTTTTTTTGTTGTGTGCAGGTAGTGTAGTAATTCCCCCTTGGTTTTTCTTTGGGCCGCGGTTCTTTTCCAGGGGCTTTTAGTTGAACCTGGCGTAGTTAGTTTTAATTTTTAGGAGTAGGAACCATGAAGCTATGCGTTTAATTGTAGCAATATCTCTTAGCTTTGTTAGGCCTTGAGAATAGTTAGTACTAAGGTTGTGACGCCTAGGCTCGATTTTTGACTCTCGCATAAGTACCTTAAATCGTAGATTCCTAATTTTGCTTAGCTACTTTGATTGGAGTGTCGCGAAGAAACCAATCCTGAGTTAGTTATGTGCCATGCGTATGTGAGTTTTGTATGTATTCTGTGCATTGCATTTGATGTCTAGAACTCGCCCTGTGTATATGCAAAGCGAAATAGTAGTCTTGTTCAGTCTGAGAAGTGATATAGGCATTTCTTTGTTAAGCCAGATATATATAGTTTACCCACCTAAAAGTTATGTAACGTAGTTAACCCCTTTGAGCATGTAATCCTGTTTCTTTGGCAACCACCACACTACAAGCCTTACCTAATTATTTGAATTAACCGTCTATTTGAACTTTTTCACCTCGAATGGGCACTTGAATTGGTATGAACTTTATAAAAGTTAAAGTGTGGGGTGATTGGTTTGGTTTTTGAGTGGAACCAATGAAATAAAGAAAAAGGTGAACTGTTTTGAAAAAGTAAGAGCTGCTTGAATTGAATAAAGAAAAAAAAAAAGAGAATATTTGTTGAAAAGTGGCGATTCTTAATGTAATTATGCTTAAAGAAATATGGGGTAATATAAATTGAAGTGAAGGTGGAATGTTTGGTTTGGCACAAGTATGGGATGTGTGTTAAAGTATATGTAGTAAAGTTCTAAGGGAGGTGTAGTCACTCATATCCAAATATATCATACCCGACGCGCAACCTACATTACAACCAATGAAAGTCCTACTTGATCTTAGACTGAATGAACTCGATTCGTAGAGTATTACACTACGGGCAAGCCTATGGTGCATCATTTGTAGCATATGAATGTTATTTCTGAGAGCGAGTGAATTTTGTCTATCTTGAGTTCCTATCTTCTTAAAAATTAATTGTGTGTGGAACTAAGCTCTTTGATTGGGTGAGGGCACATGACTCATAAAGGAAAGGTAATGTTGTTGATATCCATGTCAGAGTAAGTAAGTGAATTGTGAATAAGGCATGGTATTTGTGAGTCGAATCTTGAGGCGAAGATGTCACACTTGTGTGATTAAACTGTTTTAAAAATTCTTGGTATAATGAGTTAGGAGAATTGCTTTAAAAGGTCATATCTATAAGTGTAGTTTGATTGCTCGAGGACGAACAATGTTTAAGTGTGGGGTGTTGATGTGTGGTTATAATTCCATAGTTTCGTACATTATGTGCCTTGCATTTTACATGCTTTAATGATAAATTACACTTTATTTGCGCATAATGGAGTCTATTTTATGTGTAGGTGAATTGGAGATGAAAGTAGAGCAAAACAGATACTTAAACGTCGAAAGTGTGCTCGAGAACAGTGAAAAGGAGAGACCTGGTGAGGCCAGCCAAAGGCCAGGTTGGACCAGGCTTTAGCCTGGCGAGGCCAGCCTAAGGCCAGGCTGGACCAGGCTTTAGCCTGGCGAGGCCAGCCTATGGCCAGGCTGGACCAGGCTTTAGCCTGGTGAGGCCAGCCAAATTCCAGGCATTAGGCTGGCGACGCCAGGCCTGAGGCCAGGTCCAATCCGAGTTTTGAAGACTTAATTCATTTCGGGTTTGACTAGGACTCAACCCACACATTTAGGGTTTCTTCTACACATATAAATAGACCTAAAACACCACTTGGAAGCACGTTTTTTGGAAGCTAGAGGAAAGAAGAGCTTGTGGAATCACTCCTTGGAGTTAGAATCATCATTTTTACATCTTTTCATCTTTACTCTCTATTTTAATTATGCAAAATATTTGGTATATTGTTATTATGAGTATGAGTAGCTAAATTCCTAATCTAGGGTTTTGATGGAACCTATTGAAGGATTATTTTCTTGTTATGTTAATATAGATTTGCCGTAGTATTTTCTCTATTTGTTCAACTATATTATTCTTGTGGTTGATTGAAGGGCCTTCAATTAGCTGTGCCTATTTAGTATGTATTACTCGGGAGAGAGTGCATATTTAGGTAGTTGTTGAACAACATCACTCCTAAACATATATGAGGGATCAATACGGAGGTTTAAAGGTGGGTTTAGGGATAACGAAACCTTGGTGCGATCTGAGTGAGCTATGCTTAATGCTAGCTAGCGTAATTCGGGAGAATATGTCTAGTAATTGTGGTAATTACTCGGGAGAGAGTTACGACAGTTAGAGTGCTCATGATCGGTAGAGAAGACTTAGGCAAATTTGTAGAAAACGTAGCGGAAAAGATTCCGACGATAGGGAAAATCACAACCTTAGATCATTCCAATTCTTGTTTACAACCCGTTCATAGTTAGTTGTTAATTATTACATTTTAATTACGTAATATTTAGTTAGTAAAACCCAATCTGTTACTTAAATCTTTCTGAAGATTGATTGTGTGAATTTGTGCGAGTCTAGTAGCTGTATTTGATAGGTTAATTCCTTGTGGGATTCGACTTCGGGCTTATTAGCCGGAATATATTTGCAACGACCACTTAGTCCTTTTTATAAGGCATAGTTGGGCGTGATCACCTAACTGAGAAGAGAAATCTTATTGAGAGTTTTATGAGCAACAAAGGATTTTCAACTTAAGAACAAAAAATAAATCAAACCATTGCATATTGACATTGAATTCCTTCAATGGAGTGTTGGATACGGCCTTCTAAAGCTTCGGTATTTTTTAATAGATTCTGTGTGGAAAACTTTTGTTACCATGTGATTTATTTCATCGGATATAGAGGGATTCTGTTGGACCAAACAAAATGTATAATTATTTTTGATCGGAGGCAGACCTACTTGTACCATTGAGATTTCATCGAACCTCGTAATCTTCGGCACAAATTTTATATATGTATGTGGCCCTATCGCATAAAAATTTTGGGTCTGCCTCTGTTTTTGATAACTTGGAGCTGGAGGATTGTTTGAGCCCATTTGGACATAAAAAAAATTCACTTTTTTCAAAATCAGTGTTTGGCCATAAAATTCCCAAATTTCACTTGAAGATGAATTTTAGAATTTTTCGAAAATTTGAAAAACTTCAAAAGGCTGTATTTCAAAAATTTCACTCATATCACTCACAAAACTTCAAAAACAACCCAAAATTATATTCATGTCCAAACACAACTCTAATTTTCAAATATCATTTTCACGTTTTTTGGAATTTTATATTTCTTATGTCCAAACGCCCACTTAGTGTTCCGAGGTATGTAGATGGATTTCACTGCACTCAATAAATGCACTAGTTCTGCACTCACCTTTGCTTTCGTTTTAAAGTACAAGTACCAGATAACTCTATCCATCAATACTTAGATAGACGGGACGAAATCACCTCATGAATTTTGCTTCTGCTGAAATATGAACCTGAAATCTCAAAGTTCTTATCCCACTTCATTGACCACTAGGCCAAAAGTTTGGCTCGACTTCTGTGCATGCTAAGGTTTACAATCACTACTAACTAATGCCAACTCGAACTCTAAACTTGTCCAAGGAGAAACTCTAAACCATTGATAGATTTCACCAACATAAAGGGAAAGGAAAAACCAGAAAGAATGCCACGTAAATCACAGGTAACAATGGAAAACCCAAAAGAGTGCCTGATAAATCAAAGATAACAGGTAAATATATGAACACAGCTTAAGTAATCAATAGTGTCAAACATACGTTTCTTTTACTTCTACAATATGCCTATTAAGAAGTGCACAGTTTGAATGCACAATATACAAGCAGTTGAACTCATCGCTCATCATAAACACCAGTCAAAATAACTTCACAGAATTAAAAGAAGGTTATCATCTCTGAAAGAAACAGAGGTATCAGAAGACATACCTATATCCCGAATCAGTACTTCAAGACTAATGTCACAGAATCAGACATACCTTTTGAATACAAATTCTGGAAAATTTTCAAACTCATGATCTGAAACAAAATTTAGACATTTGCTTAACTATAAATGTAGAGAAGTTTAATGAAATAATTACAAATCATCTCGAGAAGTTTAAAATTATATTATTTCTAAATATAAAAATATAAAACTTGACAAACCAAAAAAAGAGCATGTGCCACAAAAAATGGAAAGGTGTGAGTACTCAAATAACTAAGGGGTCGTTTGGTAGCTAGTTACACAGTAAGTTATCCATGTATTAGGAGTAACATAACCAATACCATGTTTGGTAGCCTTTAGTTACTTTGTACAAAAATCAGCATAACTAATGTTATGTTTGGTTGCTTTTTCTATTAGGGATATAAGTAATACATGGATAGGTTATACTACAAATCTATGTATTGTTTATGCAAGGTAGCATATGGAATAACTAATACATGGGTTAAACAATTAAATGATCAAAAAACCCTCACATTTATTTTAAATTATACATTGTATAATTAAAATAAAGTAAACATTCACCAAAAAAATAATATTTACATTACAATCCATAAATTACTAATCTATGCGTTACTAATCTTTACATAACTAATCCCGCTATAATTAAACCATGCTTAACAAAACCCTGCATAACTAAACTCTGCATAACCAAATCCTGCATAATTAGTCCATGCATAACTAAATCTTACATAACTAATCTATACATTACAAATATCTGCATAAGTCTAACCAACAACCAAACGACCCCTAAGTCTAAATACAAAAATGAGATAATTTGATTACCTTTCACCGACCAAAGCTAGGGATTTAGTTGCCATCGGTAATTCTATAGTTTGCTGGCAGTACTTCGTTCATATTCTCGTTTGTTGTCTTGGATTTAGTTTTCTAAATATATTGTCTTGCTATTACTTGTTATCGGTACCTCTTTCATATTCTCTGTTGCTATCTTTGATTTAGTTTTCTAATTATTTGTCTTGTTATTACTTGCTATCAGGGCTTCTTTCACCTTCTTTAACCGATGGTATATCGGAAACAGTCTCTCTGTCCTGCCAGGGCAGAGGTAAGGCTGCGTACATCCTACCCTCCCCAGACCCCACTTGTGGGATTATACTGGGTTGTTGTTGTTGTTGTCCAAAGCTAGGGAATAATCAAAGCAGTGTCTAACCCGAACTGTAGTAAGAGACCCACCACTCCAAAGTACAACAGATCGGAGCATATTGTCCATTTTGTGCTCAAACTCATGTGTACAGTAAGGAGACAACTCAGTGGCCGAATCGAACTGATCTTCGAGGTCGATTACCGAGTTGAGGGTAGGGTCCTTGCAAACTTCAAACCATGCCTTGCACACGAGCATGTATCCATGCCATCGGTCTTCGATGGAAAGGCGAGAGACAATGTCGACGAGGCATAATTGAGTTAACTCGGACCAGTCATGGCCGTCTTTCCTCTCTTTGTTGCCATCCATTTCTGAAAGGGGAGTTCTTCTGTCTTACTATCAAACTTTGATTCTGAGCTTATTATGTAACATGAAGGGCTTATTATCAGAAAAGGAAGGTGTAATTTTGTCAATCTAGCCTCTCTTTTATTGGGCCTTTTGATAGAATATAAGGGTCTACCAAACTATATAGAGAACCAGGTTCTCTATCAGTTCCACTAGAACACACGCACACTGCAGTAAGTGAATGAGAAGAGGACTTTTACATGGAAAATTCCCAGCTCAAAGGGATTAAAAACCACGACCTACCCTTGTAGGATTTCAACTTTACTACTGAGCAACTTTTAGATTACAACCTCTGCAACCTAGGAATTAACCTCTTAATCCCTCACTAACTTGTAATACTCTATTACAAGCCACTTTGTAATAACTCAATTACAAAGACTTTACAACTCGACTAACTCTAGCCAAGGCTCAAACACAAAGGTTTAAGGTTTACAAAGGGTTTCCTACAGAATACTTCTAAACAAGCTAAGTAGGAATTACAATCGAAGAACTATTACAAAGTTACAACTCAACTAAAGACATACAATGACTTGTTGTGGGGAACTGGTCCGTAGTAGTGTTGTTCTTTGTTCTTGATGCACTTGAGAATTAATTGCTTAATGATCAATGACCGTGTGGGAGCTTGAATATATTCTCTAAATGTTCAAGTGATTTGTTTTACCTTCCTTGATGTTAATAATACACTTGTGACATCACTTGGAATGATGTAAGTAAGGTAGGTAAAAGACACTCCCCATAAAGTTGACTGCTGCACTGTTTCTGCACTGTAGCGTGTGCAGGCAGCAACTTTACAGCTGGGGCAGTTGACTTGTACTGTTTCCTCGGGAAACGATAATTATTTATTCCCTCTGTTGTTCCTCTGACTCTGAAGAGTTGAAGCATATTTCAAGCTGGAACCTTTCGATCTTAAGGTCTTGAGGATATGTAACTGGTTCCTTAACTGGTTCTTCACAGTAAGTTCGTTTAATCATCAAAACATAAAGCAAGGTAGATGTAACCTATCAATTTCCCCCTTTTTGATGATGACAAACTTATAATTGAACATCCCAGAAAACAAAAAACGCACAGAACCTCCAGTGAACTAGAAAAGCCTTAAGTTTCCCCCTGAGTCTGTATTGCCCCGTAATCAATGCTCATTAATCAATTATGCACATTGATCTTCCTCTTTTTGGCATCATAAAAAGAATAGTAACAAGTATATAGCAAAAAGAAGTCTAGCTTGAGTTAACTCATACCACTTGTGTGCACACAACATGACTAAAAATAGAGCATAAAGACAAGGCATATACAACAAAAAGGGAAAAGCTTCCATTAAATAATTTAGATTTGAAAAGAGGGAGCATAGTCAATGTTACTAACAACCATCCACAATTCATAACAACAAAAACAAATACCACAAACATCATCATCAACAACAACAACAACCCAGTATAATCCCACTAGTGGGGTCTGGGGAGGGTAGTATGTACGCAGACCTTACCCCTACCCTGGGTAGAGAGATTGTTTCCGATAGACCCTCGGCTCCCTCCCTCCAACAACTCCCCATCTTGCTCTTGGGGTGACTCGAACTCACAACCTCTTGGTTGGAAGTGGAGGGTGCTTACCACTAGAGCAACCCACTCTTGTCAAATACCACAAACATCAAAAAAAAAACTAATCATAGGAAACTAATACTTAAGACTTGACACTGAGGGGAAACTATTTAGGGAGCACTGGAAGGAGAGGGCTTAGAGGCAGAGGCAAGGGTTTGGAGGATGAGATCCATTCGAGCATTCGCCGACATTTGCTCATTGAGCAGTTTCTCTTTCAGGTCCTCCACCTGTTTCTTGAGCACAGTATTCTCCTTGGTGAGACGGGCAACCTCTTCACTTTGAGAGATACTAGAACCAGGTGCCTCCTGAAGCTGACTCAACTGACTCTCAAGAATAGCATTCCTTGCTTTCAACTGCCTTATCTCAGCAGTAGCACTGTTCTGAGCGTTGATCAATTGAGAAATGGTAGAAGTGCTTCCAACTCCTCCAACCCTATCAATGTACTCACATTCTTCCAGAGTGGATTTGGAGAAAGTTTGCTTCTTAGTGCCCACTTTAGCTTGTCCCAGAGGAACCTTGAAGTACTCAAAGACTTTGGTGAGAAGGAACCCATAAGGAAGCCCATGATTACCATCTTTAAAATCTTCCACTTTCTACATATGCTCTATCATGATCCGAGGCAGGTTGATGGTAGTGAAGTTGTCCAGTGCTTCCATGAGGAACAGGTCTGCACGAGAAGTGGTAGATCTTCTCTCAGCGCGAGGGAGCAAGACTTTGTTCACCATCTCAAATAACAGTTGGTACACTGGAAGGAGGGCCTTCTTATGTACCCGTTCCCCTTGCTGAACTGCTATGTCCTTCAAGATGGCGTTTCTGAAATTTTGAGAACAAGATCCCTTAACACTAGACAGCCCTTCAGCAGGCACACCCAGAATAGATCCCAACAAAGCAGAGTCCATTACCATGTTAACTCCATTCACTACCACGCAGATGTGATCATCCTCAATTTTGAAGAGGTCGGCATAGAAACTTTGAACTTCCTCCTTATACACCTTTGGAGCATCACTTGTGAACAAATGTGTCCACTGTTGAAACTCACAAATTTCAACCAGCTGTCTCATACCAACCTCCTCCAAGATATTAGGGGAAAATGTACTGCCCCATAGCACCTTTTGACTTCTTAACCTCTCTTTCCCAGCACTCCTTCGATTACCCACTCTGGCCTTCTTTGAAGAACTAGGTTCCTCATCCGTATCAGCTTTTCTCTTAGCAGACTTGCAAACATTCTTTCCTTTTTCATCAGACTTCACAAACTTTTCACCCAATTCTTCCATCATCCTGGCAGTAGACTCTTCCACCAACTTATCACCAGATTCTTTCACCACATTTTCATTAGCAACAGCATCATCAGACTTTTTCAGACTTTCAACAGACACAGAAGATCCCCTTTTAAGCTTGAGGAGACCATACTTCTGTGAGCACTTTCTAGTCAAGGAACCAGGTTCCTCTTATATTTCATCATCCACATACACAACTGGCACTGTCTTCTCGCTCACAAATTTCCCATCTTTCACTAATTTTCTTCTCCTTGACTTAGCTTGGATGTTCTTAAGCGCAGACTCAAGAGCCTCCTTCCTTTGCAACCTTGTAGTAGGTCGCTTAGGAGTAGACTCTTGAGCAACCATTGGTCTACGCCTAGTCAAGCTAGCAATTGGCATGTCATCAGAATCCTCTTCACTTTCCCAAACTACTTCTTTAGAATCAGATCTCATCTCAGGCACAATTGTCACATCTCTTTTTGCCCCAAAAGATATATGTGTTATGGATTGTTGTGGGTTAAAGAGTTTTTCCAATTAAAGTGACAAATTTGAATAGAGATTATTTTATTTACAGAGTCGCCACTTGGAATTGATTTTTTGGGTGTTCCAAGTCACCTTTTATTTGAATCCCTAGTCAAAGGAAGGTTTGACTCGATTATTATTGGTCTGCAAAAACAAAGTCCGGGTAAGAAATTCTGTTGACAGGGGAGAAGGTGTAAGGCATTACCTGAGTCCCGTGGTACTAGCACGGTCTCTTTATTGACTACAACTTGGCTTGAATTAATTTTAGATAAACTGTGATTTATTGGTTTTCATGTTTTATATATCCGATTTTATATTAAAATATGGAATTATCTTTGAAACGAATCATGTGTGTGAATCCGTTTTGTTTATTGTGCCAAAATCATGTCACGTGTACGTGCACATAATTAATAGCATTTTTATTATATTTAAGGTTGTTTCGCCCAAAGTTGCGCGAACGCATACCTTGATTTTAGTTTTGGGAATCGTAATTATATCACGCGAACGTATACATAATCACGATGATTCATTTAATTAAGAGTATGCCTAAAGCATTCTAGCGTATTCATGATTTGTTTCTTTCCTAAGTTTGAGATTATTGTGAAGGCCATGAATTATGAAATTACTTGTAGAAGAAGTGTATGATTTTAGATATTTGAATAAATAAACCATCATATACCAATATCCTACAACCCAACAATTGAAGCCCAAACTCATTAGGGTCCAAATCTTCCCAACTTTAAAGCAAGTTTGAATACCATATTTTCAAAAATATGATTAAGCATATAGCATTTAAGGACAAACATACATTATTATTTATAAAGTTTAAAGAAAAATAAATAAAATCACATAAAATAAGATAAAAAGAACAGAGAGAAGAATAAACCTTTAATGCAAAATTTCCAATTAAATGAGTCTCCAAAAACAGGTACAATAACTCAGACGAATGTCGAACAAGCATAAGCGACGAATATCATCAAACCTAGTGAACGGAGCTCCAACGGAATCCTCGACCTCAACTATTGACTCCACTTTTTGGCGTGTAAACAGGGATGTTATGAAGTATTTTTGTTGGGTTTTGGGTGATGACTTGCTGGATTTTTTGAAAGAAAGACGAAGAAAGAATGATACGAGTAGAAATTCCCTTAGCGTAGAAGAAGAAAAACAATATCTCTCAATTCCCTCCTCCCTTCTTTTTTTCTCCTTCTTCCCCCCTTTTCTCCTCACATTTCTCTTCTATTTATAGGAAAAAACAAATCAGAATTTTTTCAGATATTTTTTTATTTTTTAATTAAAAAGAATTCCCATTCCCATTTTTATTTTTATTTTTTAAAAATAAAATAATTCCCCACTTTCCTTTACTTTTAATTTTTAATTTCTCACTTTTTTTTACTTTTCTTTTTTTATTTTCCACTTGTTTTACTTTTTTTTTTAATTTTCATTTTCTTTTACTTTTCTTTTTAAATTTTCACCTTCCTTTACTTTTATTTTTTAATTCCAACTTTCTTTTACTTTTTATTTTTAAAAATTTCCACATTATTTTACTTTTATTTTTTTAATTTTCTACTTTCTTTTACTTTTTTTATTAAAT